TATTTTGAAAAATAAGCACGTGGCCCTTCGGGTTCAAACCTTTTCACTCTTGAGCCCTACTCCAGACTAACGCATGTTCTTGTTTCACATCCAAATGACGCCCTGTATTTCATAACCCTATTCCGACCTGGCATTCGCGTGGAAGCCATGGGAAATGTTACCAGAAGTGGCATAGAAGTCTGGCTTTCCGCGAAGCTAGGCAAGACAGGCTACAGATAGTGCGCAGTGTATACACGTGATCGGTGACTGAGTCAGTGGAGCAAGGATTTTCTGGCATTGCTTTGCTGTAATAATGTGTGTGATACGGCGAGGATAAACCAACGCGCAGACACCGGGAGTCAATCCCCGTGCACTTCCACGTGATGTATCGCCACGTGACTGCCGAGTCACGAGCTATCTACCATCCGCGACAGACAGGACTGTTAACTGCACTTATTTCTCTTTACCCTTAGCTGTAATGAGATTCCTTCAGTCACTACACGCATCGCATTTTGTTTCTACGAACCGTCCTGTGGAAGGCTCTAAAGGAGACTCACATCCTCACTGCAAATTACTGTATACCCCTGGCTTCTCACAGGGCCACAATTCGTAGCAGTTGACGAATTGAGTAACGATAGCCAAAGGCAATCCTCACATTAACAAAAAAAAAACTGTGTAAAAACATTGCAAATACTTTCTCATACAAGTTTGTCCTTGGCTACGTTACCTTGGAGACGAAATTGATTGTTACCCAGGCCATTGTTGCTGAACACTGAACAACAGTGAAATCCTAAAGGGTTTTGACGCTGATGTATAACAAGGTTTTTGGACTTCGTCTATCGTCTGGTATTCTAAAAAAATACAGAACAACTGAACGCTTCGGAAACTGAATTTGTTTGCGTCCGGGTGGGAGACACCTAGTCTACCAGACCCAGCAGAGTAGACGTCTCCCGCCCCTCACCTGAGGACGGTAACAGACCCAGTTTCCGAAACGTGTTCTTTTTTTTTTTGGCCAGACGATGGACAAATAAAAAAACAGTAATCCTGCTCAGGAAATTCGTCTGGCCATTAAGGCGTCTTCCAGAAAATCGTCATTTTGTATTTAAGAGCTAGGATATTCATGTTCACCGAACACCGATCTACGACAGATAAATTTTTAAATACCGTTTAGGCGTTAGCGAGGTGTCCATCCGTGCATACACATGTACATACAAAGAGACGGCATTCCAGAAGCGACCTTTTCATATTCAGCGGGGCTGAAAACTTGTAAATCCGACAAAAACTCAAGACTGATTTTTGTCGCGATCAGAATACCTGCTCATGTACACTACGTATATGAACACGTAAAAATAATAGTCTGCGAGTTAAAAATTTCTGTAATTCTGACTTCATATCCGTCTAAATTCTTTATTTTTAAGCGCTAACCCAGCAGCGACAGACGCCAGTTGTAGATTTAGCACAATCAAGCGAATAAAAAGGGAAGAAGACAATACAGAGCTGTAGGACAGACGGATGCATACATGTGAGACATTCTGCTGCACAGTGGATGCAGGAAAAGCATAAGTTTGTAATAACAATGAATATAACAAAATATCATAACTGCCCATTAACAAAACTAACCAGAAAACTGATGTTAAAAATTACAGTTAAACATACTGTCAGGACTTAGTAGTTCGTGACCTATTAGACGGGGTATGGATTGGATGATTGGATTTATTGGCACATTTACACACCACTTGAAACTACAAGTAATACAGCGCTATCGCTGATCTACACACTTTACGGTTCACTGCTGCAAACACACTAGTGATCTGTCTTCACTAATCGTATTCTGGTAACGGATTTATAACAGTCTCACTGTCACTGCAGCACATATGAAATCTTTTTTTTCACAGCCTAATTTCTTTCTTGCGATCTCAATCATTTGACTACCATCTCCAGAGATTCTCAGTTCTCCGGACAACTAACTCCTCTGCTCCCAAGCTCTTATCCTGGCAGGCTGGCGTCTCAAAACTCAACTGACTCAAACGATCTTCGTTGTCCTTTTCATAACCCGTCGGCACGGACCGCACACAAGAACAGCTTTTCTATTTTTGCGTGAATTCTTCTCCGCGGAAACCTGCTTACTGAATTGTTCCATTGCATGCGTCACATCTCGTTTCGTCACAAGTTTTATATTGTTGCGTGCGGACATTGTCTAGCAACGGCTGTTTCGCTGGCTTCGCAGTTCTTGCTTTGAACAAATACTCCACAATATTGACGTTGTTGCATATTTCATTTGGGGTTAAGGCGCAGCGAACAGAAAGAAAATTATTACGTGAAAACGGAATAAGAAAACATACTAAAATCTACAATGTTTCTGCCTGGAACTCAGATACCCACAGCTTCTGAGACTGAAGCGCGTGTAACAGAACTTGCAAATATTCCATATAAATAATTCCTCATAATAACGCCCTCATAAATAAAGTGTGCAATTTTAACTCATCCAAAACAGTTATGCCTGTACGAACTGTTTTCGTCGTTTTACTATTATTATTATTATTATTTGTATTACTCCAATAAACTTGAGCAGGTGCAAAGAAAATTTTCAGCCCTTTGCTACAACATACTTTTTCAACATGTGGACTATCACGACGATAACTTATTGGAAAAATTAAATTTGCTGACACTGCGTATCAGACATCGTCACTTGGATGCTTTGTTTTTAATAAATGCCCTTAGTGGCGCTAAATATTGCCCCTATGTCCTCGAAACAGTCGACCTTCCTGTTCAGAACATACGTGACTTTGGCACGTTCGGTTGCCCTCCAGCCGCTTATTCCCTTCAGCTAGAAGCGTTTCTGCTGCTAATGCAGTTTGTAAATCTACAGGTATCTTTAGAAACTCGGGTTTAAATACGAGTACAAACAGCCTTAACTGATCTATTTTTCTTTGCACTTCGTTTGTTTTGTCCTGTGTTATTTTATTGCTGTTTTGTTTGTATTTGTGCTGACCCTGTAATTGGCCACTGGCTGCTGAGTTCTGCACGTAAATTAATAAGGAATTGAACTGAATTATTGAGCTAGGATACCTCAGTCCGTATAGCGGCTATATAACTGACAAATCCGTGTTCGTTTCCCGGCAGGGACAAAAGGTTTTTCTCTTTTCCACATCGCCGACTGGGACCCAGCTAGCATTCTGGTCAATGGGTACTGGAGGACCCTCTCCGCAGGGCCCCAGGGTAAAGAGGCCAGAAAGTGAAACTTGCCATTCTAGACTCCCATACGTCTTTGTGGTCTGGTGCTTAATTAAATCATGGGAACTATTTAACCTCTTTTTTTTTAATCTCGTAAAATTAATGGATTAACAGGAAAATCCGGTCTGTCTGTTGATCAGTCAGCTTGTTTACTCCCCAGGACTTCTGGACAGCCATTTTACTCTTGTGGTCTCGTTTTTATTGTTTGCCAGAATACTGTCACGTGACCGGGGTTCCGTGACGAATAATAAAGCGTTCTGGTTTGGATGACATTTTTATTGACACGTCTATAACAATTACAATCAATTATAACAGCCCACAATCCATGGCTGCCTAAGACTCGCTCCATTCTTTACTGCACTACGAGTGTCTTCTGCGTGACTGACTTGGTTCTGATTTACGAGCCAGTCACTTCTTCAACTTCCGTTGTTCTCTAGTTAACACTTCACAGCTGAACACTGACCTATCCTAAGAATGCCGAATGATTGACTGAATCATTGAACTCCCTTGAACTGAACTGAACTCTCGAATGACGGCTCCCTTACGACGCAATCAGTCATCTCCGCACGGCTCCTTATACAGGCTACCGGTAACCATGGAAAATATCCATTGTCACGGAAACGTGCTTACGGAACCACTGGCTAGCAATGGACTACCGCTGTTCGTTGCTGCAGGAACGTGTGTTTGACGAGCTGTTTTATAGCAGTAGACATCCGCTCTGGCTCCGCTATTCCGGCTTTCAGACGTCATGTCACAATATTAATACTACGAATATACATGTACTACCTCACCGGTTCACAACAGCGTTGAAGTAAGATAGTAATTTATATTACATAGGGAGGATCTTTGCCGGTAGCCGAGCGGTCTAAGGCAGGTACTGTCTTAGCTCGCTTGGAAACCGGGATCGTGGGTTCGAATCCCACTCAGGGTGTAGATGTTTAGTTTGTGTGTGTGCGTTTTTCTGTGTTTGTCTACAGGTAGAGGCCTTGCGACGAGCTGATCACCCGCCCAAGGAGTCCTACCGAATGTGTAAGATCTAGAAAAACCGAAGCGAACGGAGTTCATGGAGGTAGGTCTAGGCCCACTGGGGCTGTAGTGCCAAGGAAAAAAAGGAGGATCTTAGACCGCCTCTGTAGTCTAGTGATCAGAGTTCCTGGCTACAGATCAAGATGTCCTGGGTTCTATTCCCGGCACTACCAGATTTTCTGAGAAGTAGTGGGCCTGGAACGGGGTCCACTCAGCCTCGTGAGGATAACTGAGGAAATAGTTCAAGGAAATAGCGGCTCCAGTCTAGAAAACCGAGATTAACGGCCGTGGGGATCTGTTGCGCTGACCACGTGGCACCTCTATCCGCAAAAGTTGGCACTAACTTCGCCGACAAGCGGCGGTCGCTCGGTCGTTATATTTTGCTTTTGGACTACAGGCCACGGAGTTTTTTTTTGTTTCTAAGGAAGATCTCTGCGATTTACACAGATCGCCTGATATTATTATGATAGTAAAATATTGAGGGATGCCGTTAGCTGAGCATGTGATTCGGCTAGGGCAACTTCTGGAAAGACGTCCACTTTGCAGAACGAAAAGGATACGCGAGCATAACATGAGGATGAGTGTCAGGATCGGAGGCAGGTGTGTGCTTCCCACAGTATTAATTTATTGTTTAGCTAGCATTCCGTGACTTAAAGTATTTCTTGCGGTGACTGAACGAATTCACCTAGTTTAACGTACGATCTAGTTAAAAAATGCCAGGGAAAGCGTTAATATTATAAATGTTGCTTGCAGTGACTCACCGAGGAAGTCATCCAACGTGTCCGGATGCTGGTGACTTCTGCTTGGATTGCTGGCTATGTCCGAGATGTACACAGTGGGCGCCATTGCAGAACTCCACGTCTGTCAGTTCCACGTGCAACTGAAACAGCGAGCAATCAGGTAAGTGCCTGAAGGTAACAGAAATACGAGACACTGTACCACGCATTTTAACGGGGAAACCAATGCACTCAACGCGCCGCTCAACAGTACGTAGGCCTGCTCGTTTCAGATTTAAACCACGCTTTCCGACAGCTTGCAATGTTCCATAATGTTATTTGGTCTCCTGAGGAGACTGCAGAGATCGATTCCATTGCTGAAACAGCATCATTCTTCGTAATTAACCTTAGAATCAACAGTTACGATACTTAACGCGGTTTTTGCAATGAAAAGAAAACGAAATCAGAAGACTCTATAGGATTCTGACGATGGTGTATAACACACAGAGATATTGGGTTTTCGGACTTTATCCATCGTCCTGGTTTTTAAGATAACTAAGAAAAACACGACGTTTCGGAAACTGGATCTGTTTCCGTCCTCAGGTGAGGGAAAACACCTATTCTGTTGGGTCCCTTAGAAAGAGCTAGCCTCAATCACTGGTCCACTGATTGAGGCTAGCTCTTTCTAAGGGACCCAACAGAATAGGTGTTTTCCCTCACCTGAGGACGGAAACAGATCCAGTTTCCGAAACGTCGTGTTTTTCTTAGTTATCTTAAAAACCAGGACGATGGATAAAGTCCGAAAACCCAATATCTCTGTGAAATCAGAAGAGTCAGGTTAGTGGACAGACAAGAGGGGAAGTTATACCAACCCTATTGTTGTACGCTGGATAAATTGTTGCATCATTATGTCTCTGCCATGACACGAGTTACGCTCTTACTGTGTTACGTAATAATAGCACACACTTCAAGCTAACCAGGTTAGATGAATGGGGCGCTGAAATAAAGTTGTGTGAATAATAATTCAATTGTTATATCTTTTTATGTGCAACTCAATAGCTACAGGGGCCAATTACAGAGTCAGCACAGTCAGACAAAGAATAAAAGAAGCACTTCGTTTAAAAACATACACGTAATGTATTCTTGTGCGTGATAATAAAGTACAATATGATTTCATGAAGCGACTGAGTAACAACAGAGCACGATAAAGGCCAATTGTCCAAATTAATCAAAGCTTTAATATTAAAGAAATGGCCATACAAATTTTGGGGTTGTTATTCATTCACTTTACATTGACGTTTTGGCAATAATAAGCAAAATAATAAACGTGTATACTTACATGAAGATCGAAGAGTCGAACGGCCAAATAATTCAGTTCGGTTCTTATTTATTTACGTGCAAACTTGATAGCACAGAGGCCAATTACAAAGTGAGCACGAGTAAGAAAAAGGAAGACCAAACTACATACAAATATTGTATATAAGTAATTGTATAATTGCATTGTTTATATAACAATAACAGTAAAAACTCAAAGCTATAATTAGGAGGCGAGAGAAAAGTAAAACACTTGCATATACTACTACTACTACTGATAATAATAATAATAATAATAATAATAATAAAAATAATAATAAAGTAGATATTCATCGGTGGGCTGCTTGAACGGAAGGAACTCAAATCTAACAGATTCAGAATGGAACTGGGGCCCAAACCCACCACAGATCCAGCGAGCACCAGAGGCTGTACTCCCGGAGAGAGAGACAAGTTGACCACTCACCTCCACATTGCGTAGTTGTATCTGATGATTGTACAGTGATCTTGATTTGAACCTGACTCAAACTGAGACTCTCGCCGCAGCCAAATAGTGGTGAGATCTAAATGGGTGAGATGGGCAGGACACTTAGCACGCATAAGATAGAAGAGAAATGCATACAAACTTGTGGCAGGAAAACCTGAGTGAATGAGGCCACTAGGAAGCTCTAGGCATAGAGGATAGGATAATATTAAAATTAACCTAACGAAACAGAATGGCAGGATGTGGACTGGTTTCATCTGGCTCTGGATAGGGATGAGTGTCGGTTTCTTGTGAACACGGCAATGAAACGTCGGGTTCCAAAAAATGCTCGGAATTGATGACTAAGTGAACAACTATTAGCTTCGAAAGACGAATTCTGCTCTCCTTGTGCCGTATAACATCTATGTTCTACTAACCTTGATCGGGGTATTGCATTTGTCTCTCCCCAGTTGCGCGGACCAGAGGAGTGTCTGTATTAGTGTGAAATCAGCGGAACGCCAAACAAACTCTGGACTGTTACATCACAGGCAATAAAAAGACACGTTGTGAAATGCCGTGTGTGGAGGACCGGAACAGGGCTGGCCTAATGAAAGCTCCCCCCCCCGCCCCCCGCCCTCACCCGTGTTTCCTTCCCACAATGCAGTAGAGCCAAACAAATCTATCTCCAAAACTTCGCCGTTAAGCAATGATGTTGGCAGCCTTGACGTAGGGAACACACGTGTCGGGGAAAACGACGGACGGTGGAGTGCGGAATTCCTCTACTGCAGCTACCAACACGTGGCAGGCAAAACGCCTCCATGGTTTTTCCCGTGTCTTTGACCCGCAACGTCGTCTTCGCCTGGCCAATGATCGTTACAAACGATACAGCGGTTATTACATCCGCTCGTTGTTTTTGTCGAGATATGAAAACTAGACCAATCATCTTCCTGGTACACTCCCTACTCTTATAGCAATAAATCCACGTCCGTGGTACAGGATCTGCTCGGTCAGAATAATTAATTATTTCTACTAAACTCAAGGTTCATCACTGTATTCACAAAAGCGCTCCATTAGACAGTGTTCTGAACAAGCTGGATCTGCAGTCAACAATTGTACACGTTATATATTCAAGATCCATTTTTATATTATCATCAAATCTGTGCTGTTGTTTCCAGAAATGGTCCATTCGGACCAAAATTTTGAATGCCTTCTGCAGTAACTAAATGGGAACAGGATGAGTGGAATTTCGCATGCGCGGTTAAAGGCAATGCTGGCAAGTTTTTGTGAATTTTCCGGAAGTGGGTAGTTCGTTGACCACCCGAGTAAACCACAATGAAAACTGTGCACAATGTAATTAGTTCAACTGAGCTGTAGTTCAGATAACGCTGGCAGAGTACTGGCCTGAACCGCTTCATTGAGATCTGTGTCCTTCACATAAAAGTGCATAAAATTTATGCGAAATATGGAGACGTGTCTGTCCATCCAACAGCCCATATGTTACGTATCCAGAACTACTAGAGGTATTTCGATTAAATTTGGTATTAGAAGGTCTACACTAAATGTTATGGGGCAATTTTGAATTCGATACATATCGGCCCAGCTCAAAGAGACCTTTATCGACTTCCCCCAAAACACCTAATCCTAAAATATATTGGGATATGACATAAAATATTTATTTCATTAATATCTATACATTTTGTTTTAATTTATTCCTGTATGGCATTTATCAAACTTCAAGCAAAGAAATTTATGTTTTTATGCAGTGTGATTATCGTTACACAGTAAGTACTCGTAGGTGCACTAAAATAATAAAACTGTATCTACAGTAAATTAGCCACTTAATTTTAACAACATTGTTCCAGGTAGAAATGCCCACGTTCTCATTTAAGATTTCTAGTCCTACCGAACCCGTGTTGTTAGCGCCTTACTTAGGAAACGTAAATTTATAGTCCAACAATAAAATTCAGTTTAGCTCATCGGCTAGCTAAATGGATCTTGCAGTGGATCATAAGATTGAAGCCTAGTGGAGTAAATTTAGTATTACCTGCAATTAAAAATATGTTACAGATTTATTATTATTATCATCATCATCATCGTTATATATTTTAAGAATTTACTCGTATAACTTACATGCAGACATTGTGTACGTTAAATTTGTCACATAACCTCAAAATTCTCACCGTTGCCATTTCTGTAATTATTGATTGTTGAACAGTATTTCACGCAGAATTTGTAGGCATGTTTATGATATATCTCTATAACAATTTTCACATGTCTAGCTCCACGATTTCGTGAGTTATCGCCATCAAACCGAAAGTCAGATATAGATTTCACGCTACCGACATTTTGTTTTGCATAACAAAACCTGAAAATAGTTGCATTTTTAAAATATATATGACTACGATTCATAATTGGAGGTGCCTGCATTAAGTGGCACTATTGTCACTCCCACCTCATAAGTTCGTGCATCAGCCATGTTGTTATTGCCGAACGTAGGAACTCAAAATTTACTAAGTTGAAGTGAGCGCTTAGTGGCGTAGCCTGTTAAAGCCACCTTGTAGAAACCGGGGAAAAGGCTCAACAGCTGAAATGGAGGACACACTCCATGTGACAATGTGTTAAGACTACTATGTTTCCTTAAGGAAAGAAAGTAGGTTAAATGTACTGAAAGACCGAAAAGAAATGTCATTATTTAACGTCAAGGACAAGACGATATACAAAATAGCAGGGAACGAATTTGGAAAATCCGCACAGTCCATTTTTAGTACACCTTTGCATTCTTTTAGTAGGAAGCAGTGCTAAGTGAGAGCGGAAAGTTTGACTCACAATAGTCTTGTGCTGCACCCCGCATTTACCCGAAAGAACAGAATGATAAGATTAAAAGACTGGAGATGCTTTGAACAAGTGTTCCCGCACAATAGCAGCAGACTCTTTCATCTTGCAACAGTAAATCCACACATTTGTAATTTCAGTTCCTCCACTTGTTGCTTTTATTGTCCTTCTGCTATTATTCGTTGTATTCTTCGGGCAGCTTTGTACTGACATTCCCTTGTGTTAGTTACAGACTATCATTCTATAGCCGATATTCGAAGTACGTTATAACAAAACTCAATGTGTAACTCAAACGTGGATTCTTTTGACTTGTTACACAGTCAGGCGATTCAATAAAATGACAACAATTTCCTTTGAAATGAATATGAATTTAGCACATATGCAGTTACAAACAGTGGCTAAGACTTTATGCCCTCAGGAGCCTCCCCACTGCAACCTACGGGAGGGGGGGGGACAGGGAGTGTCTGAAGACCAGCGGATCAGTGGATGGAATATGTCTTCGGGGCCAGACCGAACAGATACGATCCATACTGTGAAGCTGCTGCTGTTGATGATGAT